TAAAACAATCCATATAAAGGTAAATCTAAATTGGCTCCAGAGCAGGTTGGTGATGGGACAAAGGAAATATGACCAGGACGTGTGTTAAAAAGGTTAGTATGAAACTTTTGTGTTGCCAGTTAGCAGAGTGTCAGGATGAAATACCTTCCCCCCCCCCACTTTTGGGGACATTTTCGACAATGAAACTTTGTTGTTATTTGTCCTAGTATCTCAATAAAACTTCCTCTGAAGAGATCTTAATGCATTTCTGTTATTCCCTTGAGTATCTTAAAAAAAACACTCCTAGTCCCAGATTTTGACAATTTTGTAAACCATATTCTTCATTGCTTTGATTAGAAGGGTTACTTTCTGCACCATTGTTGGAAAGAAGCAAACGGAACAGCAATAAACCATGTTGTGTCTTAACATCCCCAAATCACAGAAACTTTAGCAGCAAAGTAACAGAATTTTGGTAGCGTGATTTTTGTGTCAAGATGATGCAAAGCATCTGTGAAATATTTCAGCTTCCATCCTTAAATCCTATGATGCTTTCACGTTCATCAATAAAGAGGCCAAAATGTGGCAGTGCCAGTTTCCAGAGACGCTACCAAATAACTGGAAGTTGTTCAGTGATCTGCTAATAGTCAGGAGGCTTGATCACAAATCCTTTTTATAGCAAAGGATAAACAGTAGGGGGTAGATCCATTAGGTTTGTGATGGGCAAAAATACTAAATTATTTTGGCAAGAGAGTAAGGACTGCAGTCGGTTTTGTGATGATGCAAAATGGGATTGAGCAGCACTTGGAATTTCTGGGGCTTGGTAAGAATGTCTTCTTTAAAAAAATAAAAACACCATTCTTACTCCAATCCCCATATTATCACCAGTTTTCAGTTTCATGCTGCTTCCTGTCTCAATATGATAGGAAACCGACATTCAGTTGAGTAGTTATAAAACGGTCCAAGGTTTGCAGATTGCTCATTCCTACTGTGATATGTTGAATTTAAATTGTCCCCAAGCATTTGCTCAGAAAGGGATTACATGCAAATCTGAATTTTTTTAAAAAAACAACCCTAAGATCTGGTGCACATTCAATGCCAAATATAATACCATAGATGAAAATACCTTGAAAAAGATTAAAGATGAGGAAGCTTTTTTTTCTACGAAAGAAATATTGAAATTGACATTATTGTAAATTAAAACAGTACAATTTAGAAAGGTTTGAACTCATTTCTTCCTTTCTCATGAGGTCAAACAATCTATACTAAAATCCCTTTAATTTTCTACTAACAGGTGGACATAAACTTTGTTAACAGATACAACCAATTTCTTTGTCAGAAGCAGAATGCCACTGACTTCAAACTGTTGCTCTACTTAAAACAGTACAAGGATGCACCCTAAAGATATGCAAGTTAGTAGGTGTGTGCGTGTTGAAGGTTGACTCAGCCTTCCATCCTTCTGAGATCAGTAAAATGAGGACCCAGATTGTTGGGGGCAATAGGCTGATTCTGTAAACTGCTTAGACAGGTTGTAAAGCACTGTGAAGTGGTATATACCATACTTTTTAGAGTATAAGACACAGCAAGGTTTTGAAGAGGAAAATTTAAAAAGTTTTTGCACTCTGCAAACCTCCCCAAAACCTCCTGTTTTTCGCAAAAACGGCCATTTTCTTTCAAAAAAAGGGCATGAATAGCCCTTAGGAGGCTTGTAGAGTGCTCTGGGGGGGGGGGGCAAAAACGAGAAAGAAATGGCCCATTTTTTGTCAAAAAAGGGTGTGGATAACCTTTAGGAAGCTTAGAGAGTACTGCTAGGGGTTGGGGGGGCACAAATGGGCTGTTTTTCGCTCATTTCTGTCCTCCCCAGCCCCCAGGAGTTCTCTGAAAGCCTTCTAAAAGCTATGCACGGCCATTTTGGTGAAGTGGGCAGAGCTTCGGGAGGCAAAAAATGCTGTATTCGGTGTACAAGATGCACCCAGATTTTCAGACTCTTTTTTGAGGGAAAAGGGTGCGTCTTATACTCTGAAAAATACGGTAAGTCTAAGTGCTATTGCTATTGCTATTATCATCATCTGCTCCTACATATATGTCTTTCTCTCCATGGGCTGTTCATGAAATGGATCTTGTGTATAAAAATGTGTAATCTACCATATCAGTGAGCGTTTTAGCATTTCTTGAACCTGAAATGTCCCCTTGTGCACCCCTCAAAAAGGAATTCAAAACCAAACCAAACGAAAAACTGGAGGATGGGGGGAGTTTTCCCTATTCAAAATTCCATTTATTTATTTAAGAAGGCTCAGAAGCATAATGAAAACAGTGTAAGAATCAGTTTCATTTTTATTTTTCTCTCAAATGTGATTATACACATTCATGTGTCTTACTAAAATTCTGCACTGTTACATTAAAGGTACAGTACGGTAACATTCAATTTGAGGTACTTAGAATTTATCAACGTCCTTCATAAATAATGCCATCAGTTGCTATAGATAAGCACTGTTCCAAACACAACTAGATCCAATCGTGTCTGAAATAACGGAGCTTAAATTTTTCATTTTTAGAAAATAAACAACGGTGCAATAGGTACTGTAGAAATTAGAATTATTAGTTTAAATTATATGCAGATCAGCTCAAAATATATTACACTAGAAATCCAGTAATTTCTTTCCCCGTTCAGTTCAGCTCTGCAAGATGATATTCAGAATAATTTCAATATTGTCTATAATATTTTTTTTCTCGACCTCTGGCTCTTTATAGGTAAATATATTGGATGGCTCCAGAGGACTAAAGCAATATACAGGTAGTCCATGACCAACAACCATTTAATGATTATTTTAAGTTACGACAGCCCTGAAAAAAGTGACATATAATCGGTCCCGGTACTTATGACCGTGGTAGCATCCCTGCAGTCACATGACCAGAATTCAGGCACTTGGCAACCAGTGTGTCTTTTAAGTGTCTCCCAGGATTATGTGATCTCCATTTGTGGCCTTACCAGGGGCTTCCAACAAGCAAAGTCAATGGGTTAAGCTAGATTCACTTAATGGTTTTGCAATTCACTTAATAATTGTCATTCCCTTAACAACCATGGCAAAAGAGATCATAAAATTGGCATGGTTCACTTAACAACCACATTGCTTAAGGACAGAAGTTCCAGGCCCAATTGTGATTGTAAGTTGAAGACTACCTGTATTATAAATATATTATCCTAACAATTTAGGATATGAACTTTCTATTAAGGGGCAAAGCCCTAATTTGGGGACAATTCTGTAAATCTGTCGAGTTATTTCTGCAGTACAGTTTGATGCTGCAAATCTTCTCATTTTGTCCACAATCTACATAAGGTAACAAATTGAGTTTACTGAATCTAATTTAGCTTGGATATAAACAGAGTAGTGGGTCGAAGTTAATATGCCTGATCTACTGCTGCTAGCAAAAAACCCGATGATGGAAACATATTAAGGACCATCCAGTTCAATAAAAAAAACACCCCTCTCTAGTTCAGAAACTTATCCTGCATTCACAAGAATACTAAATTGGGTGAAGTACAGGTAACTATATTAGTTTTATTCTATTTGGCAAGGAAAACGTAAGTACTCAAAGCTCTTTCCAAGTTGCTCCATGGGAGGAAACAACAGACCAAAGGCTAGATAAATATAGTCCTAAAAGTCATATATCACCTTTATAATAACATTGCTATTTAAATAATTGAATTGTCTTTTAAATTTCACTGTATAACTACAGAACAAAATTTGAAAGTTTCTTCATTTGTAACATGCAAAGAAAATGTTGGCTTCCTTCTGCTTTTTATGTGTTCAAGACCTAATACACACAGACACACACACACGCACGCACACACCTCATTCCAGGTAGCTTTTTCCTGATCAATATATTAGTACTCAGCCTCTTCGTTCTGATTTGACAGATACTTCAAGTAGTCATTTATCTTAACAGCCTCCCAAAGGAGATCTGCTTGGCCCTATTATGCCTTGCTATTAGATTGGTAGTGAAGTCAATTTTTATTCCAAGCTTTTACAAAATACCTCTTTAAAGCTGTCATTAGCTGCAGCTACTATCTTTTAGTTTTTTAATTCTGATTTTCTCAATATTTTCTAATAGTTAATATATGCTCTTTTTAGAATTTAGAAAGGCAGGTTATGTATGCTGAAAATAATGAGCTAACATTAGGAGTCGTTCCAGATTCAACTAAAAGGCATTATAACTGCAAAAGAAAAACCCTCATGCAATACACACTATATAGTTGACTGCTTATGGTTGTATCTCAGCACACTTACCAAGGAATTATTCCCAGGGAAGCCAGCAAAATTGATTCCTGAACAGACATATGTAGGATTGCATACAGGGATACTGAACATCAGGAAAAAAAATACAAATATTCGGTGATATAGACATGGTTACACACTACTGCAGAGATCCTTATTCAAGGATCCTGTGAAATTCATTAATGTTTTTAGTTCTCATAGTTGCAGAGAAAAAGTATAAATATCTTTCCCGTATTCGTCCTTGAAAATAAGTCATTTCAAAACAAAAAAAGAAGAGAATTGGAAATCAAATTCAATACATTTAAAACTCTGAACCCATCTCATTCCCCTCCCCCCCCCCAATTTGGGCTACTACAACTTAAGCATCTTACTTGGAGATCTGCCTATTGCTCCATCTATTTTTCAGGAGTAATAATTTGATTTTACTGCGAAGTAGGACATGCATGTGGCTACCATTTTTGACACGCGGTGATTCATGCTGGTTTCACTAGCATTGCGTTTGTGGAAGAGGTAACAATACATTAAAATGCATGGAAGAACTTAAAGATAATTTAGGATCTTTCGTTAGAACCCTATTTATAAAGGTAAGTTAGATATTTACCCATATTTATTGTGGCAAACTACCTACTTGTAACCCATTATGGAAAAAAATAAAGAAGGAAAAAATCAATACATGGGTCTGTGGCTCTAAAAAAGGAAACTGAGCATCTGGTGTCACAGACAATTCATTTCCCTCTTCAGGAATGATTGTGATTATACTAATTCCAGTTTTATTGTTCACAAATATTTACCATAAATACATATTTTCCAGAATAAAACTGAGACCTTTCAAACACCTTGTGCTTCAGTGGGGTAAAGCTAAAAGTAACAGTGTACATCTGCCATCTAGAGGCCGAAAGGGCACAGGGCAACTGATGTGACCTATGTCTGGAAACTGGATTCATTCATTTCACCTGAAGGTAATGCCATCAGTCTTCCTTAAATCATGCCATTCACGGTGCTTTTATTTGGCATATCTGAAACATGTAAAATTAATTGGATCAGGGAAAAACAACCTAAGAGAGGAGCATTTTCTTCCGAACAAATTATACGGATGTTGTTGTTTTTTTCCTAGCACTTCTTACAAGGATCTCAGGCAATATGTATGGTCTACCCAACTATAGCCTCATGTTGATGTTATGATGAGAGTTAGATTGAGACTAACTCTTTCTATAAGAAATCAGGAATATGGAGCAAATTTTAAGACTGAAAAGAGCTTTGACCTCTGCTCACTCTAATCTAAATCCAGTGCTTGAATCATACTTAAAGTTGTGAGAATGTAATCCTTTACATTTCTTTGAAAAGCAACTCCATACCTCTGAGAAATGTAAATAAGTGAGTTTTTTTAAAAAAAAATATTTGTGATGATAAAAATGTAGGAGACACAGAAGTAGCATTTGATCTTAAGGACAGCTTCTGTTTTGTGGGTATATTTTTAGTATGCTGCAGTGCTGAGAAACTGTTCCTGCTAAATGTTCTCGTGTTCAAGTATTATTTGGGACACCACAGATATTTAACAAAATCAGGAATCAGGATTTCAAGTCCTAAAATGTTTTAGGACTCCCAATGGTTATGCTGGCCAGAGAATTTTGGATATTGTGGTTTGAATTCAACAAGAAACCACAAATTAGGAAATGCTGATATAGGTTGGAAACTGGAGGCACCCAGTCAATACAAGGGTATTTGGTGGCATGGGACAGGGGAACAGAATGATGAAAGCAGTGTTGAATCATCATGACTCTGTTGTTACCTATATAAAAGTAGGAGAACTTGCAATGTGATAGTGTTTGTGTTATTTTACTAAAAACTTCAGATTCTCTGGATGCCTCAGAGTTAAAGCCACTATTCTAATAACTAGGACAATAAAATGTTGTGCTAAGCAGCTACACTGTAGTGAGACGCATTTATATTTACTTCATTTTAAAAAAATGTGTTGTAAACAGAAAACTGGGACAAATCTATTTCAGACTAATGCTTAAGTTATTTTCTAGACTGAAACACATAGGGGTTGCTTTTTTGAAGCAGTGTCTTTTATTTCACAAACATGGTACCTCTACTTTTATCATCCCTCTTTTTTAAAGCTACTTGCTAACCTGAACCTTTTCTTGTTAGAAATGCAGGTAGTCGAACCAATTTTTTAAAAAATCTGAAAAAGGAAAGCTTGACTGACAATTGAAAAATCTCCAAAAGTTAGGTAAGAAATATTTGTCACAAATATCCCAGATTCTGTAGGATTCCTAGTTCCAAGTTGCAAAAATCCCACTTGGTATTTTTTGTTTGTTGTCACATGACATTTTGATAGTCTTATTGTGATCTGCTCATAACAAAGCAGTAATTTACGCTTGTGCTAAACAGTATACTTCTGTAGTCATAGAGAGAACTACAAGCAGATTTACAAGCAATCTTAATGGTCATATTTACACTTAATAATAAACTTTGAAAATTTAAAGTATAGTTTGTTGAAGTCATAGTGTCTGATAAGTTAAACAAATATTATTTTGTATGAGTCTGGCAAATTTCAAATCTCTCCAATAATTCTGCTGCAACCTGTGTTAAATTACAAATACCAGGAATCCCTTTGTCACACTGACTGGAGATAGTGAAATCTATAGGATGTGGAGGGAATTAGATGAGAAAGAAAAATTAATATCTAGAAATTTGGGAGGTATTTCAAAACTTATACTTGGGCGAATATTCATATTCTAACCAAACTGCATAATGTCCAATCTATTTGCTCATTCAAAAACAGAGCTTTCAAACCTACTTGCTTCTCTTGTTTAAATGCCCCACTAGTTAATTTAATATGTGAAGCATTAAAATATTCAGGTTTCAGTTGTATGGAAAAAAATGTCCCTGTATGGTACATTGAACAAATATATTCCATGACAATTTCTAACAATTAAAATGCTCCAAACATCTGTATTTTTTCTCCTTGGAAAAGAACCATGTATTTTTAAAATGGTATTTGGGAAAATAAAACTCACAAAACTCATCATCTGCTTTTTGCTACACATTTTCTGACACTGGGAAAAACATAGACGATGCATGAAAGGGAGCCAGAATAATGGCTATTAGACTTGATTAAATGAAATGTATTTAATCCCTTGAAAAGAAAACTATCAGAGAGATTTTGTAATAGTGTAAATGCCATTATGTAATACTTCAGAGTAGGCTCTCCTTGCGTGAAAGGCTTTAGCTGCCATCATTCCCATCCTGCATGTACTCTTGAGGATAGTAGGAACTGCACTAATACATCTGGAAGGCTACCAACCAGGGAAGGCTTCCCAGAAGTAATCCTGGGCAAGCAAAAATGCATGATTGTATTTTAAATATCAACAGTTTCTTTGAAAAAGAGCTTTCTAAAAGAAATGTTAAGGTTAATTAAAAAGCAACTGTACCCAAAGACACTTTGCTGTTCTCTTCCACAACATAAACTAAATACAAAATGCCAGTATTTGCAAAGCAATTCACACTTTATATTTTCCAATCAGTTGCTATGGCCTTCAAACGATTGGCATTTGAAGACCTCCTATGTTCCTCTAGAAAACCTCAGCCCAGGCATTGTGATGCTGCAGCTAAACCAGCCTCAATTCTAAGTTTGAGTCACATCCAAATGGCAAAAGACTAAAGACACTTTTAATTCTGAGGTGTTCTAAGAAGTCTACAGCATGGAGAAGCAAAAATAAATAAATGATAAATCAAAATGACAGGAAATAGCAGCAAAGTAGAGACCAGACAAGTTATGTCCCTTGACACACACTGGGGAAAAAATGACAACTTTCTTCACTAATAAGGCATTCCATCTGTGCTAAAGCCGAAAATCTTTAACACTTAATTTGCTAGCTTGATCTTGGGAGCATGTAGTAGAAGAAATACATGTAGACAATAAAAAGTACAGCAAACTGTTCACTGCATTTAGGAGTGTCCTACTTGAACTGACCATATATATATATATATATATATATATATATATATATATCTGCAGACAACAAGCTAAGCATGAAATTGGCCTGAACCAGACACAATACATCATAGAATCACAGAGTGTTCTGAGAACCCATCTTTTCCTTCAAGCATAAAAAATAAGTTCTGGAATTTGCCCTCCCTGAACCCCAGTGCCATTGGTGCTGTCTGAAGAACACTGGAATTGCACAGTCACTTTGCCACATTGGACCTCTGTCATTCCTTCTTGCCCAAAATAGCTGAGTTCATTACCATCCAAAATCACACTAGCCGTATAAAAGGTATCTGGTTCGATTTGCACTGGATACTCAAACCACACGGGGAAAGTATTGCTAGATCCATCTGAGAAATACTTGCTTAAGTTTTGTCCAAGGATAACGCCTTGCCGCTTGAGTTCAATCTTAGCACTGTATTCTGCTGATCCGCAGCTGGAGCCATAGAGTCCAAACCCAGCAATGAAAACTCTCTTGTCAACAGCAAACTGGATGCTGTCGCACCGGCCCCTGTAGCGCCACTGGTTGCTGCGGTAGGCACATGACTGGAAGCGATGACAGCGCTGAGGGACCAGGCCTTTGCGGGCATTGCTCACAAACTGCAGCTCTGGTTTCTTGGCAGCTGTGTACCAAAGGAAGATATCGTTTGTTTCACTGAGGGTCAGAAGACCAGACTGAGCAGCCCCATTGGCGAAGTCATCCAGGGCCATGGTGGGTATGCGAATGAGATAGAGTGCCTTCCCAAGCACTTTGCGCTTGTTTTCAATGCTAGGAGGCAACTCTTGCCGTTGACACTCCATTTCAGCCCAACTGAGGGCAGCTTCGAAAACCACAATCTCTTTGGCGTTCAGGGTCTCCCTTTGGAGAATGCTTTCAAGGGTTTGGAAATCAATGTCACAGAAGCCTTCCGATTTCAGAGCCAGCTCGGCCTGCGCATCGATCACCTCCCAGCAACGCTCAGTCAAGTCCGGTTCCTCAAATAAGCAGCTCTGGGAAAGCAGCACACAAGCGTTTTTTGCACTCAGGCTCGTCTCTAGGAAATTCACACAGGCTCGGGCGAGATGAGGAACAATGTACTTCTTGGCCGCATAAAGAGTTGCCAGAACTGTATCGGCAGCCAGGTCAATTTCATCACAATAAATGTACCTGTAATAAATAAATATACACGTCATTTTTAGCAGATAGGAAGGGTGATCACATTTTTTCTACGATACTGAAAATAGAAAGGACATGTCTGGGAAACACTAATGTATTCCTTCAATCGCAACTTGTACACAACAACTTAGGCTGCTGACCAAATAACGTCCTTCCTATTTAACAAATGCTTTACCCTTAAAACTTGTCTCTTAAGTGTAGGATAATTTACAATCTATGCTGCAAATCACCAGTAGAAGACAAACTTTAATGTTTTCTTTTTTTTTTCTTCCACAATATTGTAATAAATTGTTGGCTTGCATATATTTTGAGTGATGATTCTTTTATCTGGCTAAACTCATTTAGGCAGCAGCCATAAGTTGTTTAAGCCATGACATAATGAATTTAAATTAGTCTGACATTGTTTCACAAATCCAAGTGTGAGTTAACAGGAGCTTCTAATTACAACCTTAGCCACAATCTGACCTTGCTCTCTTTGCAACTCACCCACACAGAAGAATGAAACAAATGCAGTTAGAAAATGAAACTAATCTCCTGCATAATTCTGACTGAGCTAACCTAGTTTACTTGACAAGCCTGTCTCCCTCGCTTTGAATGGTGGAAAATTTAAAGGGAACACCTAATTGGTCTATTTACTGCATATATAACTTGATCCATCATAGCAGCTATTATTTTTTGGCGAACTAGTTTGGCAGTAACCACAATGTTAAACTATCATCGTGGCTAATTACATCATGTACAGCAGGTTTTTGTAGAGCATATTATATATACCTTACAAATGAGCATATAATTCTCAGGATAGTTAAGAACCTAACAGATTTTTTTAAAACCCACATATATTTATAGTGTTGCATGCTTACAGGGATGCACTAGCTAATAGTAAAAAAAGAAGGGGTTTATGGTGATTTATGTGGGACCTTTTTTTAAATAACTTGTAAGGTTTATAAATTCTGATAGGAACAACATGTTTTAAGATGTTGTTCACAAATCTCCCCATGCAGGGCTTCTTTTGTATGTCAGCCAATAAAGGTGGTTGTGAGTCAACCATTTGAAGACCATAGCAACTGATTGGAAAAAAGGATTCTCCCATTTAATATCACAATTTTTTTGCATCAGTTTGATGAACAATGCTATGGTTCTGTAACTTGCTCTCTGTAAATTTCCATATAATAGTCCAAGGTCATAGTAATACACTATTTGACTTCCCATAGAATGACAATGTGGGTTTAAGAAAATCCCCTGCCTACCTAACAATAAACAACTATTATTAGATGATTAAAAAGAAAGAACTTCTGTAGTGCTGAATTTCTCCCTTTGTTAACCTTAGTTGCCAATTCCAGTTGAAGCCAATCCCTCTGCCATAAGCCTCTGCATGTGATACTCTTATATATACATATGTAAGTATGGAAATATACCTGCCAAAATCCACATAACCTAAATAGGATAAAAAATAAAATTATATTAAGTGAACTACAGGTAGGCTTGGGATTGCCAGCACTAAGGATTGTGGATGTAAAGAACATCATCAAGTGACCGTATCACTTAGTGACAATCCCAGTAGTCCCAGTTGCTATTGCAACCCCAAAATGTGTGGGGGTTCATTAAGCAGGAAGCAGTGCTACTGGGAGTGGGTAAAGCCTGGTAAGCCTAGTAGAGGCTAAGGGGAGGAGGATGTTATGGGACCATGCAAATGCAGGAAGAAAATGGGATAGAGGGCGCAGCACAAGTGCAGAAAGGCCCTGGGATGGAAGGCGTAGTGCAGGAGATAGAATGTGCAAGTATCAAAAGGCCATAGGGTGGAGGGCATGATGTAGCACAAATGCAGGAAAACCAGGGGAACTTACCAGAATGACTTGTGACATTTCCTGCCAGCTTCCCCATTAACTTGCTTGTGGGGAAGCCATCAGGGAAGGTTGCAAAATAACGGTCACATAACCATGATTCCTGCAATGTTGTTATTATGAGCCAGGCAGCCAAATGCCCAGTTTGCAATCATGTGACTGCAGGAGTGCAGAAAGCCTCAAAGAACTCAGAGGAACAGTCATATACCTTTTCCCCCCAAAAAACTGCTGTAATTTTGAATAATTGTTGAACTAATGGATGTTAGCCAAGGACTATTTGTAAAAATTAATTCCCCACCAAATAAGATACACCATTTCCAAAATCTGCAAAAATGAACACTGTCTCATGCAAACTGTTCTCACCAAAGGACATAAACAAATTCTTCCAAAGAGGAAAATTCAGGATGGCAATCGGATAAGAAGAAAAAGTAATTGTAGTGAAAAGGGATGGAGAAAGAAAGCAACAAAACTGGATGGAAAAAAGAAATGTGGGGAGAGGCATTCAATCAAGGAAGGAGAGAACCCTTGTCTAATTGTTCCAAAATGGTTAAATTTACTAAGGAAACCATCTTTCTAAAGAAGCACCTCCAGGTGATGTCTGGACTACTTGCACCTCATATTAATTATTTTGTTTTCAGTATATTTTTATATTCTTAATATGCATCCCTATTCACAGATTTAATTATTTGAAAGAAAAAATGACAAATCTGCTTGGATGGTACAAAGTTCATCACAGAAACATTCCACTGCTTTTTCGCTTCTCAATTAAATTGCCGCTGGACATCCCAAGGAGGGGAAGAAGAGAAGAAAAAGGTTTTGTTTTTACTTGCAACCAAAACCTCTGAGGACAGCACACTGATACACAGACCCACCTTTGCAACCTGCTAATGGTGAAAGAGCTGAACATACAGCAAAGTTACGCTAGTCCAGGTTATAAGATTGATCCTGTCAAAGCACAATACAAATCAAGATTGGACTTGGCTTTGCTTATGAGAAAGACTGATTTGGCTTCTTCGGTGGATCAGTGAATAGAAACATAGAGTTAACTTTCTTATGAATGCAGCCACCATGACAGAAACAACCTAATAAAAACTGCAGCTTTTAATTCCCTGCTCAACCAATTAATAAACTAAAGCTCTGGCAGCTCCATAAATTTTCCACTATGGTAAATTACTGTGAAAGTTACACTTGGGGGAGGGTGGTGGTGAAGGGAATTGATAACGATGTTCACCACCAACAAAAGATACTTCAGCCACTCAGTCATATGGATTGTTCTGCCACAAGACAATGCAAAGACCTCTGGCTTAGGTGGCTTTAAAAAGAGTAAACAGGTATTCAATGCCTTTCTGCATTCTTAGTTGATTTAGTGGAAGCTTACTCTATTAATACTTCTGAATTCCAGGAGGAGTGGGAAGACAACAATAATTTCCTGAGTGACTGTCAAAATTGGCAAGACACTCAATTAATTTCTTCTCCTCCCCCACTAGGTGTTTAATCTAGTAGAGTTCTTATAGCCCTTATCAAAATTTCAGAACACTCAAGGAACAGTATTAGGCTCTTTCTGTCCTAACCGGCTTTTCTTCCTTGTCAATTCAAGTGCTTCAAAGACCTTGTTCTATCACTGTCTACATGCACATTTATGAGAAATGCTCCAATTTGCCCTCTCAGGAGAAGTAGCTAGACTTGAAGAGATGGAATGGGGGGAAGGGTATTCCCTAGTGAGCTGTACTTCAAAATGTTGCTGTAAAGTACACTTTTTCTGGTGCATGTCATTTTCTGACTTCCAAATCCAGCCATGAAGCTAAAAGGAACATGGCAATTTGTTTGGAAGATGTGAACAGAGAAAGGATTCTTCTTTTGCAACAGTTTTGATTTTAGCTTTGCACAATCTTACACAATCCATCACTGAAATGAAACATGGTTGGGTTGCACATATTGCCATTCTATACAAGTTCTGTGGATTAGAATGGGAAATATGATTTATATGATGCACCAAAGACTTATGTGTCCAATCACACACATTCCTTGTGTGTCCCACATAATAAAGAATTCTATTCTATTCTATTCTATTCTATTCTATTCTATTCTATTCTATTCTATTCATTACAGAAAAAGATGGGAGAATCTGGTGTTGAAATTTGCTTGAGCACTACTGATTTCCTAGTGGGGAAAAATGAAGACATCCATGCAACCTTTTAAACATTCCTTGCTAACTGGAAGTGGGAAATGCTTCAAAAAAGAAATGCCAATTTCAGGTAAGCTCTTATTAAAAAGAGTTCCACTTATGTGCCTTATTTTCCTGCTACTAGGCACTGATCATTTATTTCTAGGGCAGTCCTAAGCTCCACTGAATACTGCTGCTGCTGTAACCTATACCACCAACTAAGGCTTTTCCAGAACACAAAGCCAATGCAGTAAATGCCTGGTAAGAGAGAAATTCACCTGAGTAGAAAGTGGGGCTTTCAGTTGAACGTTCCTAAACATGGATTATTATCTGCTAAAGATGAATAGAGTGTAGTGGAGATGCCTCTTTGCTAGCTTTTATTGATGGGGAGAGTTCTGATACTGGGAAGTCTCCCACTGCATCTGCAGAAAGAGCCCACTGTATCAAGCATAAGACCATGAAATGAGGCATTCAGCATCTGTTCCTCCAAGACAGATTTGATTCAGGCCCCTCAATTATGCCTGAAGTGACCTGAGAGTCCCTCTCCGTTACCCCCAATGACTGAGTCAATAATAATAATAATAATAATAATAATAATAATAATAATAATAAGAAGAAGAAGAAGAAGAAGAAGAAAGTCAAGAACATCTATTAATCGAAGTAAAGAACAAAAATCTACTGAAGGCCCAACAGACGAAACAAGAATACAGAAAAGATGTGATAAAATCAAGAATGGAGAGTTGGCAGAACAAAGCACTGCATGGCCAATTTCTGGAAAAAATAAAAGATAAATTGGACAGTGAACAAACTTGGTTATGGTTAATAACAGGTACATTAAAGAAAGAAACAGAGTCACTAATCCTGGCTCCGCAAGAACAAGCTATCCGCACAAATGCCATTAAGGCCAAAATCGAAAAATCCTCTGATGATGCCAAATGCAGACTTTGCAAAGAAGCTGATGAAACTGTTGATCACATACTCAGCTGCTGTAAAAAAAATCACACAGACTGATTATAAATTGCGGCCCAATTCAGTAGCACAAATGATCCACTGGAATTTGTGCAAAAATTATAATATTAAAACAGCAACAAACTGGTGGGAACATCAGCCTGGAAAAGTCACCGAAAATCAGATGGTCAAGATCTTGTGGGATTTCCATATACAAATGGACAAAATACTGGCGCATAATACACCAGACATCACACTGGTTGAGAAAAATAAGGTCACAATCATAGACATCGCAATACCAGGTGATAGCAAGGTCGCCGAGAAGGAACATGAAAAAATTGCAAAATACTAGGACTTAAAAATTGAAATTCAACGACTATGGCACAAACCAGCAGTGGTAATTCCAGTGGTAATTGGCACACTGGGTGCTATTCCAAAAGCACTGGAATTACATTTAAAACAGTTAAAAATTGACAAAATCACCATCAGTCAAATGCAAAAAGCCGCACTGCTTGGATCTGCATGCATATTACGAAAATACGTTACGACGTCCTAGGCCCCTGGGTGGGGCCCGACTAGTAACCAATGCCAAATCCGGCGAAACAACTGGCCGCTGTGATACAATTGTAGAATAATAATAATAATAGTCTGCCAAGATGAAGCCTAGCAAAACTGTTCCTATATAAAATCAGTCTCATGATGGCTAGGAATTTTGAATGTTGTAGTTTTCTAATATATTTGCAGGGGCCCTACTTTGAAAAAGCTGTTAACGTGCCATTCCAACTCATGGATGAAAAAATGGATTTATTGGATGAAAAAATGTATAAACTGGAGTTTTTTTAGTACAGTACACATAAGAAATATGATCAAGAGTGTTGCTGAAGATTCCAGAACAATCCTGAAATCTACTATAGAAGTACAGAGCACTAGGCACATATCAATGGTATCTCACCAAATACATTTCCTAATACTTGCAACATAGAGCATTATGGTGTTGTTGAAGTCAATCAAGCAGTACTTCAGTTTTACTGAAAACGTAACTATCAAAATGTTTACCTAAAGATATTTAGCTAAAATTCATGCTTATTATCTAAATATATGGTAATGCTGACAATCTTAATAATTAAATCCTAGCACTTACATTTAAATATTACAATCACAAACAACTTTGAGAATTCTCAATGTCGAGCCACACAATGACATCTTATTGCTGGTTATCCTGCTTTCCTTTCATGTTCCTCATACAGTGTGTAACTGGTGATGCACTTGATTTTAAGGAAGTTACAAAGTACTTGTTTTATTATCATCCAGGCACTTTAATTAAGGCATTAATAGCTAAGAGATAGCTATCCAAAGTTGAGGGGGAGGGGGGAATCCAACTCCCACATTTTAAAGACGTAATATGATTTTTTATAAAATGAACCATAGCACAAATCAATGAATGTTTCTAAATAATAATACATCTTTTCAGATACATCTTCTATTTGAATTTATGGAAAGCACAGTAAGAAAGCAAGTTGTTTTTCTTTACATCCCACTCATCACACAAGAGAAGCAAGCCAGATGGAGTGAAGAATCGCTAAAAAAAGAAAAATGCATGTTCTATCTTCAGTTCCATATTAAAATGCCTAAAATATATTTGGAGAAACCCAATTGTTGTTAACATTTTAGATTTTATGCAGCCAATAGGAAAAAAATACTATCATGATGAATTAATTTGACAGATTTATGCAATGACAATTGCACTGAAGAGGAATGGGAAAGCACTGTGGGCTTTACCAAAAGAAGTAATGCAAACATTTTTATCAGGATATATATGAAATTATTGATTTGGATTTAGTTGTCATGTTTTTAAACTTATTACATCTGTACTTTAATGTATAATATATTAACAGTTTGCTCCAAAGTTTTAAGTGACATGCAAAATGTAGCGAGGGATACAGGGAAAAATATAAAATTTGCAAATTAAAAGTTTTAAAACTAACACAGGGACCATTTTTGGAGCAAAGATGGAGATATTTCTTTTTATAACGATACAAAACTTTTTAACACTATCATTTATAGAGCAGACAAACTAATTCATTTCTAATTCATTTCCAGCAACTGAAGGAAGATGCTTGCTTACTTTAGCATAGCGAGGAAAGCAGGAGGCTCCACATCTGGGATACGGATTTCATCTTTATCCTCAGCAAGCTCTCCGTAAAACATTGCGTGGAACACAGAGCTTCCAACGGCTAAGACATACTGGGTTTTTTGTTTTCAACAAAAAGAAAATATTAGTTCATGTTATTAAAAAAAAGATATACTAGAGTCACACGTGCATTAAAAAAGAAGGCCTAGTTGAAGGCAATGGTTTTCACCATGCTGGGTTTTTCTTTTCATCTTAAGAAATAGTTCTTCAATATATCTATTGCTTTCCTAAAAGAGCTTAAGAAATTCATGCTGAGAGCCAAGCAGCTGTAGCATTTTGGAATAGGCTTCCACATCTTGTGTCCTCCTTATCCAATGGGCTATGATTGCACTCCCCTCTAGCTCCCATTATCAATTACTATTATTAGAATTGAAGTCCATCTTACAGCACTTAGAAGGCGGTTGGGCAAAGTAGGCTTATCAAACCCCACTCTTGCAGCCACCTTGGGTAAGACCATATCTCAGACTATATCATAGGATTTTTGTAAGAATTAGAACTACTTGTGGGGGGGGGGAAAGATGGTAGCAATCTGGAAGAACATCGGGATAGTGTCACAAATCACACATAAAATTCTGCAACAGATCTTCTATCAGTATTGCAAAAATGTGTTAACTAGAAAGGAAATTATTAGAACATTTCACAGGCAAAGTTATTTAACAGTATTTCTAAGTATACCAGTTCCAGGATTCAAGCCATTTATATGAATTTAAAGTAGGAATTGTAGATATTCCCCTCGCACTCCCATGTCAGATCTGCTACTGCAGTTCTTGCTTACTTTGTGTCCTGGCAATCGCTGGGTCCCACCTGGTGGCCCAACCACAAAATGAACATCTGCCATCAAGTCGTTGTTGAACATCACTGCATTTCTATAAACAGAAGCAATATATTAATCGGGAGTGTTTAGCATCAAGCTTTATCTCCCAACACACACAATTCATTTTGTTGGAAGCTCTTTAAAGGATTTCATTAAAGATCAAACCGAGAAAATTAAAACAGAAAGCAATGATGATTAAATATTCCAAGGTTGAGTGTTTTTAAAATAAGGGTACCATTACAAAAAAAACTTTGGGAAAAACTTTCATCAAAGTGAATGTGCCAAGCTGTGCAAACATCTGAAAGATAATACATAGAAAATGCATTCGTGTTATGAGCGCAAACAATTATGAGGTTAAAATGGCTTGCATGAGAATGTAATTTTCATTATCAAAAGACAAGAACTGTTACACTGTTGGAAAGGAGAAACATTTCCCCTTTTCTCAGTTCTAATGAACGATCCTGTGCTGATAAAACATTTCATTGCATGCTGCTCCAGGACTTGTAAACTCAAGAAAGAAAGAGAGCCAAACTTCCTTACCTTTCTCGGATGGTGGGATAAAGCCCTTGCCAGTTGGGAGCTGGGATAATATTGTTGTTATTGATATTTTGCTGGTGATACTGCTGGACAGCAGTTGTGTTACTGTTAGCCGGTTTCTTTCGGGGGAAAATATCAGCAGCCATCTTTTTCTTCTTTTTAGTCTTCAAGGTAATGATTTCATAGCACACTGGAGGTAATTTGCTGTTGCTGCTGCTGCTGCTGCTGCTGCTGCCTCCACCGCCACTACTGCTGCTGCTGCTGCTGCTGCTACTACTGTTTACCTTCTTCGAGCTTTTCTTGGACCTGTTCTTAACTGTCTCTGGAAGCATCAAGAAGAAGGTGAGACATTTCATGTTCTTTCCCTTGTCATCTACCATGAGTATCTCTGTCTGTGTAAGCAGAGAGCCTTACTTGGTAAACAGAGGGCGCAGAAGGAACAAATAAAAGAGCAGCAAAGCTGAGAGAGTGTGCTTCTTTCTTTTTTTCCCCCAGCAAAGACAAGGTGACCTTTTCCAGGGTGCTGAATAAGAGATCGGCTTTTAAGTTTGATCCAGGGCTTGACTGGTTAAACGTCTCCCCATCGTGATTCCCTTTTTCACTTGCTCGCCAGAGCTTTTTTCCCCCCTCCTCTCTCTCTCTCTTCCTCCCCTCCAAAGGTCTGGAGGCTGAATCACCTGAAAACTGCCAGGCTGTGGCAAAGCAAGTAGAAGAGCAAAGATGTGTGCTGCCTGCTCGTCAGCTGCCTCAACTTGTGTGCTGAAGGGATCTGCACACAGGAGGCATTAGAGCCCTGCAGATGGAGCCAGACGAGCAGCATCCTAGCCCAATCGCTGAAGTCACCAATAACAATTGGACTAGCGGCACAGTGACAGCTATTGTAGACGTACAGTGCCCAAATATTAAAGAGCCAGCTATCGCAGTCGCACTTTGCATCGTTTTGAAAAGTGAGAAGCGACAGCACATGCAAATGCATGTGCGTTTTTATGTAATTGCTAAACTAATCAATGTGACTTAATGCCTCGCATATGAGCAGGGAGGAAAATAATTTCAGAGAACAGCAGGATTCTGTTTTTTTTTTAAAAAAAAAATATTTTCAAGTAGATGTGATAAGCCAAATAATGCAGTGCTCACACACACACACACACACACACACCGCATTTCTCCCATAATTAAAATGGTTAAATGGAATTGGTATCCATGTGAAAGCCAATTAATTTGCAGCAGAAAATGGATTGATACAATTTCAACGCTCTTTCTTCAAACGTAGTTTGTATTCCAGAGCCTTCCCGAACAGAGATGAGGTCACCACATTAGTTTTTAACTCACTATGTTTTCTGTTAACAGTCTTTGACAGACATCTAAAATCACTAAGTACAGGCTAATTAGACAATAACTATGCCAAAGATAATTGCAAAGCTTCCATTGAAAAGTATCTACAAGTGTAGACCGAATCCAAATAAATCAAATTATTTATATATAAATTGTTTAGGGGGAAAAATATTTTGTGTACATGCAAACAGATCATATTTTTGAACTAAGATAATTACACTTCCATTGGAATATAATTGCTAAAGTGGTCCAGAACACAGAGAGTAGTAAGGAAATTATATAACCGCTGAACAAATTACAGGATCTGCACAGATGGCCCACACTTTTAATCATTTCGCTTCCCTCAAATAACTGCAGCTTAACACTGTAAGATTTGAACTGCAGAAAGAGCTACTGTCAGTATTCAAGCCGAGGCAGAAGACAGCACCTTCACATATAACAGGATGCCACACAATCAGACCAGAGGAAGCCGTGTGGCTAAGTTAAGGACAGGTTATGTTCCTGCAGCCAATGAGTCCTAGACACAGGAGTTGGATTCTCATTGCAGCATATGCTTCACTGTATTTTAATTTCTCTCTGTATCACTGAATGAAGGAAGCATACAAAGAGATAAAGCGCTATTGCTAAATAATAAGCTTTGAGGTATGGAATGAAAAGTAGAAGAAGGGGAAAAACTAGGCGGAGGAATGGTGTTTGAACAAACAGCCCCTTAGCTTCCATAATGGCTGTCTTAATGCTGCAGTACTTATTTAGATAAATACAATAGCCTATATTTCAAGTAGAAACCTGTATAGGTAGTCCTCGACTTACAACAGTTCATTTCGTGACCGTCCAAAGTTGTTACAGCACTGAAAAAAGTGACTTCTGACTGTTTTTCATACTTATGACCATTACAGCATCACCACAATCACGTGATCAAAATTTTCAGATGCTTGGCAACTGATTTTTGTTATTATTTGATCTTATTTCTGATGGTTGCAGTATCCCGGGGTCATGTGATCACTTTTTGTGACTTTCTGACAAACAAAGTTCAATGGGGAAGTCAGATGCACTTAACAACTGAATTACTAACTTAACAACTGCAATGAATCACTTAATATCTGTGGCAAGTAACAATGTAAATGGGGCAAAACTCACTTAAAAGCTGTCTCATTTAGCAACAGAAATTTTGGGCTCGTTGTGGTCGTAAATCGAGGACTACTTGTATGATGTGTTTGGGCAATCCTATAAGACATCCTGGCCATGAGCTGTAACTACCTAGTTAATGTAATGATCTACCTGGATACATGATGGTCAATTCAATATCAAAATGCCATTGCAAGTTAAATGGAAAAAGCACTGTTTGTTTGCTAGTTATAAAGTCAGGCAATAAGGAAAGATGTTTTACCTATTATTGCTGTAGTGTTTTTTAAAAATATATTTTATTAATCACTTCAAGAATTTAAATTAGAGAACAAAAGCAAGAACATAATGCATCCCTACATGTAGATTGCAAATACAATTATCCATAACTCTACAGATTTACATATTAGAATGCAAACCTGCCTTCCTACTATAGCAGAAAAGTGCAGAATATATTAAGCAATGGATAAGAGTGTGGGATGTATATTTTCATTAACAGACTCCTCTAACTATAGAGTTCAAGATTTTGGACAATATCCTTATATTCTTAAAAGATCAGTTATATTATGACAGAGAGAGCAATAATGACATTCCTACAATGAGAAATATCCTCCACATATTTTGGGAAGGTACTGTATGCAAATTAGATTGTGTGTGTGTGTGTGTGTGTGTGTGTGTGTATGTATGTATGTATGTATGTATGTATGTATATGTATATGTGTGCTGGTCTTGTTGTATTCGGGTTTTTTTCCCCGTGCAAGATTGAGATTGTCTTGGCAATGTTTCGGCGAGGTCTCACTCGCCATCCTCAAGCAGCACAGGAAAAGACCTGAATTCAACAAGACCAGCATACCTACACCCGTGAAAATCTATGAAAACAAATGTATATGTATATGTATGTTATATCTCTATTTAGATGGATACAAAAGTATATACATTTAATTTAATTGTGTGTATTTAAAATTAGTGTGTACTATATGTGTGTTAGTAATTGAAGTTGGATTTGGGGGGGCTTCTATCTGCAGTTTAAACTACGAAAACAAATACAGGTGAGCCTCGACTTATGACCATAATGCAGCCCAAATTTCCATTCCTAAGCAAGACAGCTTATGTGAGTTTTGCTCCATTTTACAACTTTACATGCCACAGTTGTTAAGGTAGTAACATGGTCATTAAGTGAATCTGGCTTCTCTATTCACTTTGCTTATCAGTACGTCACAAAAGGCCATCACATGCCCCTGGGACATTGCAACTATCCTAAATATAGGTAATCCTCAACGTACAACCACAATTGAGACCAAAATTTGTTGCGAAGTGAGAAATTTGTTAAGTGAGTTTTGCCCCAATTTGCAATTAGCAATAGCAGATTTTATATACCGCTTCATAGGGCTTTCAGCCCTCTCTAAGCGGTTTACAGAGAGTCAGCATATTGCCCCCAACAACAATCTGGGTCCTCATTTTACCCACCTCGGAAGGATGGAAGGCTGAGTCAACCCTGAGCCGGTGAGATTTGAACTGCTGAACTGCTGATCTAGCAGTCAGCTGAAGTGGACTGCAGTACTGCACTCTACCCACTGCACCACCAATGTTTCTTGTCACATTTGTTAAGTGAATCACTGCAGTTGTTAAATTAGCAAACTGGTTCCTCACGGACTTTGCTTCTCTGACGATCACAAAAGGGGACCACATGACCCCGAAACACTGCAACAGCTGTAAATGTGAGTCAGCTGTCAAGCATCCAAATGTAAATCTCATGACCATGGGGTTGCTGCAATGGTTGTAAGTGTGAAAAATGGTCACAAGTCACTTTCTTCAGTGGCATTGTAACTTCAAATGGTCACTAAGTGAACTGTTTTAAGTTGAGGACTACCTGTACTTGCCGGTTGCCAAGTGCCTGAATTCTGATCACATGACGAGGATGCTGCAACAGTCACACATGTGGAAAATGATCGAAAGTCACTTTTTTCAGGACTGTTGACTTCAAATGGTCAATAAACGAATAGTTGTTAGCTGAAGACTACCTGTACCACGTTTAGAACAGAATTTAAATTGGACATATTTTATTAGCAATGGATATCACTATCCAATCCATAAATATAAAATGTTCACTTATTAAATTAAATCCTTTTTAGGGTGATAGAGGAAATATTAAGAAAATGTACATTCGTTGTGGTTATAATATTGTTTTGGTTGGCTGTTGTTGTGGGGAAAGAAGGAGGAAGGGTACATTCATCACCTTGAGTTATTTATAAAGTAATAAAGGTGGAATAAAAATCTAATAAATAAATAAGATTACAAACATTGAATGGAATCGCAACAGTCTCTCTTCTAAACTGAAATTTAATCCTGCTAAGATAAGACATTCTTCCAGTTAGCAGAATTACCAATCTAGAAATAATATGGGGATATTCCCCTTGAGAACATGGATTTTTCACTTGGATTCAACTTTGACACTTAGGTGACACCCAATGTCAGAAGCACTTCAGTCATTATACATTATAAATAGGGAGGCCAGATCTTGCAATGGTAGAACAAGCCTAAGCAACATATCAATGTTGTACACACTACATTGATTCATTTTAAAATTCAGCTCAATGTGTTTTATTGATTGGTGTGGGGTCTCAGGAACATGTCAGTAACCTATCTTTTTCCAGGCACAATTGAAAGTGGTAGTTATGACCTTTGAAACATCACGTTTTAAGATGAAGGACCTTGAAGGACCATTTTTCGCATATGACCCTGCCAAATATTAAGAGGATTTCAAAATGATTATAAGGCCACATGTCGCAACAAAAAAAGCAGCTTTTTGTTGGTGCTGTCAAAACTCTACAATTCCATATCTGAAAGTCTGCCCTTCCTTTTTTGAATTTCTGCCATAACAGGCTTATGATCTTTCTGTTCAGAATTTATTTTCTTTTGGAAGCAGGGAATGAATATTTTTAAAAACGATTTGTTTTCCCATTACTACTATATTTAAGATTCACTAAGTGTGTTTTATTGATTCCCTATTTTTCCAATCATATAACTTCAACTACTTTCAGAACTTTCATCTTATATATATTCTTCTATATTAAAAAGATGATATATTTCTAAAACGCTTTGCATACTAATTGTAAAATAACTTTCTACTGATTTCTCTAATCAATATCTTCTTTATGTTTCCAACCAGCATGGATGCAATTTTCTTCATTCTCCCAAAAGTGCTTTTTTCCAGAGGCGACCAGATTTTCTTGTTTTTCTTAGAAGATGTTCTGCTTCTCATCCAAGAAGCTTCTTCAGCTCTGACTGGATGGTGGGGAATGGAAAGATTTATACTCCTTGCAGACAGCTGGTCATGTGCATCAGCTGTTTTCAAGGTATATAAATCCTTCCATTTTCCGCCATCCAGTCAGAGCTGAAGAAGCTTCTTGGATGAGAAGTGAAACATCTTCTAAGAAAAACAAGTTGCCTTTGAAAAAGCACCTTTGGGACAACCATGACATGGATGACTGAGAAGCTCTATCAACAATTTTCTTAATTCTGACATCTAAAATAACCTCAGTTTATGTAGTAGGTTAGAGTTCCCTCTATGCAACCTGACTATTCATCTAGCGTTGTTCTATATTAGTTCCCTCACTGTTCCCTTTCTTCTGAACAGGCCACGTCTCTCCTAGTAATTGTCTGTGATGCCTCCTTTAGAAATATCCATGTCACACTTGGAAAACTTGAATGGCACAAATATGAAACTTTCAGAATTGAAACGGCTCATGGACTAATTAGCTTGCAATCATCCCGTTCCACAAGACAGCGCCGACTGGAATAGAATAATATTTTTAAGTCTCATTATTATGCTGCATGATTCTACCAGAATAAGAATGTACTTATCTTTCCATTGTGTATTTGACAAAATTGCCAGAAAACACTTATAGTGCTAGTTATGCATAATTTGTTTCCTGACAATACAATTAAAGGGAAAGACAACTATTAATTTCAGAAACAAATACTGGAACAAAACAGATTTAGCACTATATAACTCAAGAATTATTTTCATTAAAGTCCATAGACACTTTAAAGCAGCAGCAGTCTTCTCCTTCACTTCAGGTGTGTAGAGACACAACCAATTCCATGGAATTAACTTCTCAGTAGGTGTACATAGGATTGTACCATTAGATAAAAGAGTCATTTTTCAAGCCATAAACCATTACACTACAGAATATATCATATTCAGGATAATATCCATCTATTATTTTAGAAAAAGACTGTTCAGAAATGCTACTTTTACATCTTAACTGGTGCAAAATATCAATTAAATTTGAAAGGATCCTTATGACACTAAAGATACCTAAAATCCTTGACATAACCATTTATTTAGCGGTTGTTCAAAATTATGATAGCCGTGGGAAAAGCGACTTACATCACTTTTAAATCCTGACTTAAGATTTGCCTTAAGCCCTTGCATTTATGACTATTGCAATATGACTGCAATCTGGGTACTTTTCAACTGGCTGACACTTATGAATAGTTGCAGCATCCTACAGCAATGTGAGCACCATTTGCAACCTTTCCAGCTGATTTCCAACATGCAAAGCTAGCAAGGGGTCACAAGTTGCAGTCACATGATGTCTCATTTAACAACTGTAACTTAGACTTAGAATAACTTTATTGTCACCTTGAATGTACGCTAATAGGCTTACATTAAAATGAAATTTCATTGCATACTGCTCTCAAAGGGTCTCTACCTCTAATATAAACATAAACATGACAAGATGGATGGATGGATGGATGGATGGATGGATGGATGGATGGATGGATGGATGGATGGATGGATGGATGNTATTCCTCTTTTGATGCAGCCAAGGACTGCATTGGCTATTTTGGCAGCTGCAGCACACTGCTGGCTCATGTTTAAGTAGTTGACCAACCCGTTGTGTTGTGGATGGATGTTGCTTTTTCTTCTGGAGCTACTGCATCTCTACTTAGGATGTTCTGGAGGGCTGGAGTTGGTTTCTGTGCTACAGTGATGCCCTGTGATTCTAATAGTCTGTTGGCTATTGTATGTTGAGATGTTGTGATCTATGTGTTATCCTTTTCATAGCTCGTGTTGGTGGTGCTGTAGGGGATTGAGTGGTCAGGCGGTTTTTGATAAAACTGTGTAGATGTCCATTTTGTTGGAAGAAGTCTTCTGCTTGGATGGGGGGTTGGACTAGACGACATACAAGTCCCTTCCTTCCGACTCTGTTATTCTGTTCTTATACTGTTAAGTTGTATAGGCAGTCTCTTTTCCTCCCCCCCCCACCTTTGATATTCTGGGTTGCTGCAATGCATTTGTACTTGTCTAAATAATATATTTTTTTATACAGCTCCTCTTGTGGGAGGTTGGGCTGTTACTTTGGTAATGGAACATTTGGTTTGTGTGGGTTGCCTTCCGATAGACTTGCATTTCTAATTTGCTGTTGTTTCCTCTGCTGATGTAATGGTATGTGAAAATAACCTTCAAGGATTGAGCCCAAAGACACTGTCAGATAAGAGGCAGCATCGCCTGCAGCTGTTAGTGGGTGGGTCAAGAAGCTCAGAAGGGACCGTCCTTAATTTCTTAAAGCTAAAGGAGATAGGAGAATTGTACTTTCAGACTTGCAAGTGTCTGTTAATGTAAGCTTGCAATAAAGTATAACAAGTGGACAATCTTTTAAATGTCAGCCAGTGGTGTGCTACAGCTGCCAAAAAAGCCAACACAGTTTTAGACTACATTAACAGAGGGATAGAAGTGTTAATGCCACTTTATAATGCCTTGGTATGGCCACACTTGGAATATTGCATCCAGTTTTGGTTGTAAAACCAAATGTAAAAAAAAAATGTTGAGATTCTAGAAAGAGTTCAGAGAAGAGAAACAAAAATGATTAGGGGACTAAAGGCTAAAACATATAAAGAACGGTTGCAGGAACTGGGTATGTCTAGTTTAATGAAAAGATGGACTAGGGGAGACACGGTAGCAATGTTCCGATATCTCAGGGGTTGCCACAAAGAAGAGGGAGTCAAGCTGTTCTTCAAAGCACCAGAGGGCAGGACAAGAAACAATGTGCCAAGGTGGCGCAGTGGTTAAATGCAGCACTGCAGGCTGACTGCTAGATCAGCAGGTCAGCGGTTCAAATCTCACCGGCTCAGGGTTGACTCNCCCTCCCTCCCTCCCTCCCTCCCCTCTTTCCACCCTCCCTTTCTCCTTCCCTTCCTTCCTCCTCTTTCCTCCCTTCCTTCCTCCCTTCTCACTTTCCTCTCTTCCTCCCTCCCTTTCTCCCTTATCTTTCCTCCCTTCCCTCTTTCCTCCCTCCCTCGGCATTGTCATAACTTTCAAGACAATTCTGTACTTCATAGTTCTTCCCTCTGACTCCTTACCTTTATTTCTGTCTAATATAGATCTGTTCTTCTGCCATTCGGCTAATTCATCCATTGAATGAGGATTATTTGGAAATAGTACAAGAACTCTTCTTAATAGAGAAAACCTGTTGTAATTTGTTTCTTGGGTTCCTTAAGAGGACTTTTAAGTGGCAAGTGTTCTGAGAGTCAGATTACTGGGAGCACTTAACTTGGGAAGAGGCATCCAGTTTTCCCGTGAAATGCCAAAGGGGTGCTGTGTCCCCTCTTGATTTAGAGAGGGAGAGTCCTTTTTGGAGCAACTCTGTTTATACTGTGAAGGTGCATGTTCTCATTAGATACAATAAAAGCAAATTCCCCCTCTTAATTGCATTAGTGGTACGTGACATTAAAGCTTAATTGGCTTATTTAAAACACCGTGCACATTAATTTCCTTCAGATTGTGAAAGAGGAAAAGGTCAGGAGTGCAGTTTAATATTCCTGGGTGAGGGATTTCAATTTTAGTACAATTTGTAGAGAATTAATTAGGGAATGTGACGGAAAGAAAAAAAGGGCATTGAATACAAATAAGGCGGTTACGTTGCCCGATACGAAAACAGAAAACCCCTTGGACTGTTGGAAATCCCATTGGAAATTCAACCGGTGTACAAAGAGCCTCTGAAGCATCCTTTTTTTATTAAAAAAATATTGTACAGCAATTAACATTTATTTTATTTTATTTTTTGATACTGTTTTCATGGACTTCGTAGGAGATAGATGAAGCCTGCAAGAGGATAAAGCGTGAAATCGATGATCTGGGCCCCGAGGTTGGTGACATTAAGATCATCCCGTTATATTCCACGCTTCCCCCTCAACAGCAGCAGAGGATTTTTGAGCCCCCACCTCCCAAAAAGCCCAGCGGTGCAATCGGACGAAAGGTAAGTTCGCTAAAGCTTTATCCACTGCACGCCTGATTTTAATACGTAATAATAGATGAGCGCTTTGTTGTCGGGTGAAGAATTTAATTCCATACCAGCAGAGCATCCTTCATGGGGGGGGAGCCCAGGTGTGTTACAAGCCAGGTGTTTCAAAAGTCTTTATATTGTCAAGCCCCAAAGACAAGTTAGCAGAGAAGAGGCTTCCCATCAGCCACGCTTGACTGGCAATTTCAAGGCTGTTTATTGAAATGCAGGCCTCATGGGACAACCTTAAAAATACTCCTAAAGTACAGCTGGCCTGGAATAGCTTCTTCTCCCCCCCTTTACCCCCACAGGATTTAACAGCGAGAATTTCTATGCTGTAGGTTTCTAGAATGTAGACATTCTAAGCATGGAAATTGTGCCTGACGTCCATAAAGTCACGTTTTATGTGCTAGCAATATTTAACGTTCCTGTGTAATGCAGAAAACTTCCTGTGTTTTTCGACAGGTTGTTGTATCCACTAATATTGCCGAGACATCCTTGACAATAGACGGCGTTGTTTTCGTCATTGATCCTGGCTTTGCGAAACAAAAGGTAAACAAAGATTTTTATTTATTTATACACGCAGTGTATCACAGAAGTGGGTACACCCCCTCACTGTACTCACTTTCGTTGCTAGCAGTTTAGACATTGAACGGCTGTGTGTTGCGTTAATTTGAGGGGACGGCGCATTTACACCGTTATACAAGCTGTATGCTCACTTCTTTACAAGCGTCGTTTTTCCCCCCAGTGTTGTCACATGAAAAGATATCCTTAAATATTTACAAAATGTCAGGGAGGCTACTCACTTCTGTGAGATCCTACAACTGCCATCTGATCCACAAGATGATGTCAATTTTCCATTCTGTTTGTATTGCTGATGAATGGGTTTATTCCCGTATCAATGGATACATTTAGACAATACATCTAAATGTAATAATACATCTAGATCAATGGATACATAGGGGAGGGCTGCCGTGGCCTAGAGGTGGAGCTCTTTCCCCACAATCCGGAGGCTGTGAGTTTGATCCTAGGTAGAGGCAGATATTTCTCTCTCTGGGCACACTGAGAATAGCAATAGCAGTTAGACTTATATACTGCTTCATAGGGCTTTCAGCCCTCTCTAAGCGGTTTACAGAGTCAGCATATCGCCCCCACAGTCTGGGTCCTCATTTCACCCACCTCGGAAGGATGGAAGGCTGAGTCAACCTTGAGCCGGTGAGATTAGAACCGCTGAACTGCAGATAACAGTCAGCTGAAGTGGCCTGCAGTACTGCACCCTAACCACTGCGCCACCTCGGCTCTTATATATCTGCTGAACAAAACTCCGCATTGGCAACAGGGAAGGGCATCCGGCCAGTAACCCCTCTGCTAGCTCCATTCGGTTGCTCAGGCTCCACCCTGCAAGGGATTATGGGGTCGTTAAAGGAACCCATTATTTGGATCTACGAAAGGAGCAAAGTGTTTACTTTGCAAGCCTATATAAAAACTCCTCCCTCCTCCTCCTGGCAAACCCCACTCCGTTCTAGCACTGACGATGTTACCTAGTTGGGTCATGAAATGTCTGCAAGACAACAAGCACGTTCAGAGAGCACCAAGGACCCCTCGTCTCAGCCCCGAGCAGCGCATATTCTCCTTTAAAGGGGAATAATACACCATGAACATTTTATTATTTATTATTTACACTCTTCTGCCCCAATAGGTCTACAATCCGCGAATCAGGGTGGAATCTCTGTTGGTGACCGCGATCAGCAAAGCTTCCGCTCAGCAGAGAGCCGGCCGCGCAGGTCGTACTCGCCCCGGGAAATGTTTCCGGCTATACACAGAGAAGGCGTACAAAACAGAGATGCAGGTTCGTAAAGTGGCGGTTCATCAGCTTTGGATCATAAATACCAGAACAGAAACTGAATTAATTCTAAAATATATAAAAAATCTTCGTTTTCAGGACAATACCTATCCTGAGATTCTGCGGTCCAACTTGGGTTCTGTGGTGTTACAGCTGAAGAAACTTGGTATAGATGATTTAGTTCACTTCGATTTTATGGATCCACCAGGTATATTTTTAAGAATCCCTAAAATTACATTTGTGGAACATAATGTTAAGTGTTAGCAAGATACATTTTTTTCTCTTTTCGTATCATGAGTTAAATAAACGTGTGTTCCCTGAATGTGAACATAACCAAATTCATTGTAGTGTAAAAGCCACCAGTCAGTGCCAAAAGTCTCTTTTTTTTAAAGGTACACTTATTTAAAAAAAAAAACCTTATTCACTTTGTATGCAGAGCTCTTTGATAGCAAAGTTTGTTAAACCCATGGAGCAAATGCTACAAGAATAACAGCAATATACCGTATTTTTTGGAGTATAAGATGCACGTTTTCACCCCTAAAAGAGGGTGAAAATTTGGGTGCATCGTATACACCGAATGTAGCACCCACCCACTTGCCGCCCCCCATCCTTTGGCCTCTGCCTCCCAGCAATTTGCCTCCTTGCAACGAACAGAGAACAGCCTGTTTCAGCTTCAGCACAGCCTGATTAGCATAAATAGCTGATTGTCGGCTGGATCGGCCTCCCGACCATTAGCTGTTTCAGGCTACAGGGATTGCCATTGCCTATTGCGCATCCCGTTTTTGGCCTCCACACACCCCATTCTGATCCCCGCCGCCCGGAACGGGTGGAAAATGGGGCATGCAAAGGCAGCGGCAATATCTGCAGTCTGAAACAGCTGATTCTTGGGAGGTCGATCCAGCCGACAATCAGCTTCTTGTGCTAATCAGGCTGTACTGAAGCTGAAACTGCAACACACTGTTGCAAGGAGGCAAATTGCTGGCAGATTTTTTCCTCCTTGTGCTAATCAGGTTAAACTGAAACTGAAATCGGCTGTTTGCTGTTTGCTGCAAGGAGGCAAATTGCTGGGAGGCAGAGCCAGATTCCCCCCCCCCCTTGTTTTCCTCCCCAAAAGCTAGGTCTTATACTCCGAAAAATACGGTATTTAATATGAAATAACTTTAATGGGTCATCAACCAGTATGGGTCATAGGACTCTTCTACAAACCAGTTGGGTTTGCTTTTTAATGGAATTCCTGGAATTTGAAACAGCAGGAAAAGGTTAGCTCCAAAAAAAGATTAGTTTTCATACGCTAAATTGTATTGATGAAAGTCCTCTTTCTCATTACTCTGTCTGTGGAAAAATAACTGAAGACCTTTACGTCTTATGGATATCATATTTTACATTTTTTCTACAAGTCTTTCCCAGCGTAACGGCTAGAAATTTGGGGGAATCTGGGTAGATTGTCAAAATGCACCTGGGGAGTCCCATTGTAGGGAGGAAAGATTTGGTAGAAGCCTGTATTATATATTATTGAGTGGAAAACGAGGTTTATCTTCATAATGCTGTGTGCCAGTTGTGCTTCTAACATCTTTTGCTCAGTTACTTTGTCTGTAGCCAGGAAAATTGATTAAGGTCAGGGTTATAAAACTACAGGGATTTTTTTTTTTTTTGGCAGTAAATTTTCAAACACGTTGAACAAATCCATAGGTTTACAACAGATTTACTGTACTATGGGCAAAAATATGCCTAGAGAGGGGGAAATGAATAAAATGAAGGCATCTGTCCAAGTCTTTGGACATGGTTTTCTGTTAAATTGCCAAACTTTATAGACAATTAGCCATGTTTTTTTCCTCCCTAGCTTCTTGTATATATATATGTTAGATTTTTACAACCCCTGGTAAGCCCCAATTATGGGAGGAAGCTAACTGCTTCCATCATCTGTCAATCGGCTCGTCACAAGAGTCCATCACGACAGAAACCCAATATTTTTACTGTTGCCTTTGTTATATTTGTGTTTTTTTATTTGTGCTGATAAATAAATAAAGGGAGACTAGTATGGATCTATTTCAAGCTATTTAGCTCTCATCAGCTAGCCATACCCTTACTGGGATTCGAACCTGTGCTGTATTGCATCTTAGGCAGATGTGTTAACCACTAAGCCACAACACAAATGTAACAAAGGCAACAGTAAAAATATTGGGTTTCTGTCTGGATGGTCTCTTGTGACGAGCCGATGGACAGAGAATGGAAGCAGTGAACTTCCTCCCATGTTTGGGCATACCGGGGGTTGTGACTTTAAATATATATGAGAGCTAAATAGCTTGAAATAGATCTATACTAGTCTCCCTTTATTTATTTATCAGCACAAATACAACATACAAATATATATATATATATATATATAGATAGATAGATAGATAGATAGATAGATAGATAGATAGATAGATAGATAGATAGATAGATAGATATAGATATAGATATAGATATAAATTTGTGTGCTTTAGTTGCCCAGACAGAATTGCAGAATTGACCTCTTCTCTTCCACTGCCAAAAACTCACCCAGGTAGTTGTGGAGATGATTTGATTTCCCCATACTTCACTGCCCATAGGGAGGAATTAAAACTCGTAGCGGGGTAAAGTTTGGGGTAGGCCCAAAGGCCAAGAGCTAAAATGGCAGGAATTCAGCAGGAATAGAATAGAATGAAAATAGTATATAGAATAGAATAGAATTCTTTATTGGCCAAGTGTGATTGGACACACAAGGAATTTGCAGATGCTCTCAGTGTACCTAAAAAGACAAGATACATTTGTCAAGAATCTTAAGGTGCAACACTTAATGATAGTCACAGGGTACAAATAAGCAATCGGGAAACAATATCAATATAAATTGTAAGGATACAAGCAACCAAGTTATTGTCCTGCAGTCATAAGTGGGAGGAGATGGGTGATAAGAAGGATGAAATGGCATTGCTGACCAGCGATCTGTTTGTGTGTTTGTCCCTCTGTGTGTTTGTGTGTGTGTTTTGCAGCTCCAGAAACTTTGATGAGAGCCTTAGAGCTTCTGAATTACTTAGCCGCTTTAAACGATGACGGAGACTTGACTGAACTTGGCTCCATGATGGCGGAGTTTCCTCTTGACCCGCAGCTGGCTAAAATGGTTATTGCAAGTTGCGACTACAACTGTTCTAATGAGATTCTATCTATTACTGCCATGCTGTCAGGTAATAGCAGGGACAGAGATGCCAATCAAAACCCAGCTCTCCAATTAGGGGAAGCTTGTAATATTCCTGCAACAGGACTACTTTACGGTCTTTTTTTAAAAAACAAAATTGATTTGTGCCGATCAGACGTACTCTGTAGTAGGCTTCACAGTGGAGTAAAAAAAAAAAAAATTGCGTAAAAAGAAATCAACGTTGAAGCTCCAGAAGTCATTGTGTGTGTGGAAAAGGGGGAAACCTAACTCGTCTCACGTCCAGAAAAAAATTTCTTTGACCCCGTTAAAGGATTGCAAAAATATCGTAGGAAAAAAAACACGTCTTATTCCTTTAGAAACTGCAGTTCTTAAGTCCGTTTCTTATTATATGAAAGTGAGCAAATAGCCATAAGAACTGGGTTTGGTTTCTGGTCCTGTAAATTTGCGACTTAGAACATTATAAAGATACGACAGAGAATCCTCACAAGCTTACACAAAGTTGGAAAAAACAATCATTGTTTAAAGGGAATGTTGGAAGGAAAGACGGCAGCTTTTAATATTATTATCACTGCATATTTTATATAATATAATATATTACAAAAGTAGAAGCTGATACGATTGGGGAGGGAGGGAAATTGGTTTGAACCACAGTCTTTGGTTACCATGGCATGGTTTTTCCTAGCCAGCAGTGCCCAGATGCTTCCTAGAGCCTGACCATGTGAATTTAATTTTATATACATATAAAATGTAATTGTTCCTTTCTGGAGAAAACCAGTTTGATACCGGGAAAAGCCAGGAAAGAAATGATGTGCTTAAAAGCTTCCTTAACTAATTGAATATCATTTAAATATTTGTGTGGGACAACGAGGATATTACCAGTTAAGGATATAACTTTGGGGGCGGGGGTCTCAAAATATGCACGTGCGTGGTAAGAGCGTAATATAAGGTAATGGTGTTTTTTTTTTTGGTGAGACAAGCGGTCACCATATTGTAGGGTATTCTTCCTTTTATTTTTTTTCCTTCTAAAGCCTAACTACAATGTTTATTGCCGAATTTTGACACTTCAGACTCAGAGCAGATGGGCAGGGCAGAATCTCATTGTCTTTGAGTAAATTGTTGCCTTATTTGCGGAGGTGGTGGTAGGTTGATGCCTGCCTTTTCATGCAATCCTACTTATAGGAACTGAATTCTTAAACGAAGTGGCTATGTGTTATTCCCTCTAATTGCATATGTGAGTATTTTGACTTTAAAAAAAACAACAACCACACCAACTTCTCAGTAAACTGCAAAATGTTTATACGTACATATGATGAATTTATGGTTCTTCCAAGATAATCAGGATGTAGCATATATCTATATACACAGCGGAAAAGAAAATTGTGGGGGACACTGTCTCCTTGGACTTTGTTGTGGAACAATTGTCTCTACGCTGGTTTCCAGAAAGTGCCACTGACACACAGACACACACACACACACACACACACACACACCCCAGTGAACAGAATCAGATTGAGCCAAAAGAATATATGAGCCATC